TTTTCAAAAATTGTAGTTGCGTATGATCCATTAGCTTCAGTTGTGGCTATACATGTTGTTAAGAGTCATTTTGTTATTTTTATTACTATATGGTTTACTGGAGTGGAATTTTAAGTGGTTTTCATTGATCAAAATTTTAATAAACAACAGAGAGTCTTAGTAATTAATTTTTGCTGTTAAAGATTTTGTATAACATAAATGTTTGCTGAACAATGCATGTGGTTTAAGGATGTGATACAAAGTGCTACTCTGTTTTTGTCTTTTCTTTTTTTCTTTTTCCCTTTAAATTAAAGAAAGTACATGGTTGTTGAAGTTGGGGAGAGTTTTAATTTTGTTGTTTATTTTATATGGAAGAAAGGCCTTTCTGGTTATATTTTTCTTCTAATCTCAGTTGTGTATAAATTTTCTGCAAAGTAGAATGAATATTATGTCATGCTAATATATTATTCATTTTATTGTGTTGTCCATGTCAGAAAGCTTTTTGTGTGTTCTCTAATAAGTAATGTTTCATTATAGTTGGCTTATTGACTCAAGTATTTATGAGTAATGAATCTTCCCAAACCCACCTATGATAGACATTTTGTAATTTGGTATCTTCTAGCATTAGTGGGAGCATTCAGGAATTTGTGATCATGGTTCTTGAGGTATACAATTATCCATGTTATCTTTTTGCCTTTCCTAACTTAGGAATTGTTTGGTTGTCTTTTTTAATTACTTTTTGTCTATTTAAGCAAAAAAAATTAGATCATTTTGCTTGTTTGCAGTTCCTTTTGTACTCTATTCAACCAGACAAGTTTTATTAATTGCTCCTGCACAAATTAAGAGGTACTTCTATATTCTTCTAATTGCATGAACCAATTGATTTGATTTGGTGGGTCCACTTTGAATTTGAGCATTGTTTATTTATTTGCATTTTCCTATTTGATCCCATTATTGATGGTAGAGAACTACAGATCTCATTTGACAATTTTCCATATTATTTATGGTAGAAGCCTTCCGCACAACTGTAATCTTTCCTGTATAGTCATTTTATGTACTTATTCTATGTTCTAACATCCACTGCAGATCTCTTATCATAATTCAGCTTTTGAGTATGTTAGCTTATTCCACAGTACTTTTGAACTTGATAACTAGTTCTTATATAAGATGTTGACTAGTTCCCTTCTTCTGCAAGATAGGTAATATAATGATCTAAATGGAAGCACACATTTACACTGAAATTGATAAAAGTTCAATTGATCAGTTTGCTTGTAGACATTGGATTGGATGAGAAACATTTTTCTTTTCATCACACTACAACAAAAAACACATTTTATAGCATTCGAGGAATGCTATCAAAAGTAAGTAATAGCATTCGTTAGAATGCTATGTTTGCCCATGTTATTAAAAGTGTATCATTTTTAACAACATTTATCGAATGTTATCGTTGAACGCTATCGTAAATATATTATAACAATTTTTGAATGCTATGAAATAGTTAAAAGTTACTAAAAATACCAAAGGATAACATTTTGTTAATGCTATGAAATTGTTTTTATAGCAATCTAGTAATGTTACAATTTACCATATCATAACTAACTAAGAATGTTATAATAAAGCATGATAATAATCAATGTAACATAGCTCTGGACTCCACTCAAATTGGGAAGTCCAATGACATAACTATAAGAAGGCATGTGTTCTGATAGGTGCAGACCAAACCGCTAACCATGTACTAAACCAGGAGACCAACCTCACAAGTGCACAGCCAAATAAAATCATGAGCTCATGGGGTCCTTTGACCCCACTTCCCATTACGCCACATTATTCGATTTTGACACAAAATAGCCAACCAAATCTTGTAACTTTCTCAATGTTTCTCTCTACCTGCCTTAATCTGAGGTCCTTGGAGCCTTTCAGGACACATTTTTGACATCACATTCATTAAATAGTCATAGTCCTTAATACGAAAAGCACACTGTCTCTCACTTCCTCCTACTGCCGAAGTGGTCTAAATCAAGCACTCTGAAGAAAGATCAAAAAAATGAAGGTAACTCCAATTTATGTTGAAATTTGGATGATGAAAACGGTTCTTAATATTTTCTGAGTTCATGTTTTCATATATCTTGATTGCAGTTACTTGGTTGGATGCATCGCAAGTTCCGGGCCAATGAACCACTGAAGGATTTTAGCATAGGTAAGTCATGTATACCCTTATATATTTTTCTGCTAACGCTTTGCTAAAGCAATAATGAAAAGATTGGTGCACATATTAGAGTCAGACTGTAAGTGCAGTATTAAACATAATCATGAGTAGTCATTATAATATTTGTGGTAAGACCAATATAATCTAGTAGCATGATCAGTAGATCACTGGAAATTCGATAAGTCAGGTGTTGTTTAGGAAAGACAACTTCAAAGCAAAGTAGTTGTTACATACTTGGAAATAATTAACCACATAAGACCTGTGTACTTAGCAACTCTCCATGCTGCATGCTTATTTATAGCTGGAGTACAGCTTCAAGTTCAACTGAATGAACTACATACTGTAAGATTGTTACACTTGACATTCCCTTTGAGTATAAAGCTAATTGTTTTCCCAATCAATATTCCTCCATTGCTATTTCTACACGTCCCCGATTCCTGTACTGAAAATTGAGATAATGGTAAGCATCAACAAGCCCATGAGTCATGATCCATAATATTTAAAACAACAGCAAAGCATAATATGCCATTAATTCTTTTGAGATGCATTTGAAAACACAAACCTACATGACATCCCTCCCAACTAACCTCACCATTATCCCAATTATTTAACATTTCTTCTGTCAGGGAATTCTTGTACTTGTCTTTCAGGGCAGCCATCACTGGATGACCAACAGTACTACCCAAAGTTAGTACTGGGAGAAACAGTCATGTTAGTACTGGAAGAAACATTTATGTTAGCATTGGAAGAAGCTGCCATGGTAGCACCATTACACTTAGAGGAAAGCCATTGGAAGGCACAGAGACCAGTGGGAATGGAACAACAATCTGTCCACTCCAGAGCTATCTGTTTGGATCAGCAATTGAGTTGCCGGAAACAACCACAGTGGTAAAGAAGGAACATAGAACATCGCTTGGGGAGCTGTTTCAGAGGACAAAAATAGCAGAGGAAAATTATGTAGCCAAAAGCGAGAGGGGAGAAAAACGGATAGAAAAGGAGACAGATAAATCAGCCATACACCTTATGAAAAAGATGCTGAAGAAAAGAATGGTTCATGGTTCTTCTCGGAGCTCCACCACATCGACTGGGGGAAATGTTGACTCTGCTTCATCTGAGACAAAACTGCATAAGGTATGTGTACTTCTAGTTTACACCTCTATTACATGAACTTGGGTGCAATGCATATCAAAATGCCGGACCCAACAAATCTCAAATTTAAGGTATGCAAACTCCGCAAAAAAAGGTCAATTTTTTTTTTATATTATTTTTAATATATTATGTGAGACAAAATGGAAACATGTAGTGTCAAAAAGGCATTTTACTTATTTTACTTCAGTCATTTGATCTATGTAGTGGTTTCACTACGTGGGACTATTGCAAACTTTCTTGGAGTGTTGAGATGCCATTATACCCTTATAGTGTACTGAATGTGCTTGTTCATCTTTAAGAACTTGTTTAACGTAAGTGTTCTCCAGTTATGGTTACATGCTCTCCAGTTACGGTTACATGCTCCCTTTTCTGCCTATGCAACAGTTTGATCGACAATTGCACTTTGTAGTTCTAATTTAAGCTCATTTACTTGACTATGTTAGTCTCATTTATAGGGGCTGCTATGGTTTTCCATGGGTTTTAATACTTCATTGCAAGCTAGTTATGGAAATTTCAATTTTTCATTTCTTTCAGTGATAGGACAAAATATTATTTGTTGGCATCCTTTGTTCTACACATAAAGCATAGTGAGTCCAAGGATTCCGCTGTAAGCCCAAAGAATTTTGCTTTTTGGTCCTGCAGGTGAACAAGACCATCTCCTTGTCCTAGAACATTTTACGATCTCTCTTACTCAAAATAAGTTTGAGTCTGAGTGGAGAGATTTTTGAGTGATTTTTACCCAAATTTAAATTTGATATAGGTTTCAGTCAAGGGTTGGACATGCCATTATATCACTGTGTATTCTATATTTAATTTTCATTTAGAGACTAAATAGTTATTGTTTGCCTTTTAGTTGTAAATATTTTCAGATTTATCATGATATGACAGCTCATTTATCTCATTATTTTGTATAAACGGGCCATAATTTGTATCCAACGGGAAATCAACTAAGGAGTGACTGCAGTGATGTCCCGATCATACAAGCATTGCAGAGAGGTGTTAATTTGAACTGGATATCTGGGCGAATTCCACAAAAGATAATGTCAATGTTCTTCATGGAAGGTAATTGTGCTAATTTGCAAATGGCAGTCAATTCTAATATGGGAATTTTGAACCTCCCAAGTTATACTTTAGGATTATATCTCTATGTGACTTTGTATATGATGGTATCTAGAATATTTTTTACAAATGTGCAATTACCAGTATGTGTATACCTATGGAGTTGAGTTGTTTTTCTTCTTTCTGAGGAAACTCTGGCCAACCTCCCAAGCGTTTAGAAGTTTCTAGGAGCTCAAATGGAGAAGATGATGAAGAATGGTCGCTGATATCTGAAATGCACTCAAGGTATTTGCACAATTAATATTCAATTGCATTTCTTTTGTAAAACATTAAATATTTGAGATTGGTAGAGCCTCTTAAACTAAGTTGTTGGTTATAGTAAAATTTCTGTTAAACTTGCAATTTATGTGGATAAAGTGACATTTTATTTTTACAAGTTTCATGTCATGCTAGAGGTATTTAATGTTAAGACATTTGAAGGGGTGTGATCAGCCGGATTTTATCTTTTGTGAGACTAGAACAATCTCTAAAACTAGTTAGTTTATTCATATGCTTCTAGCGGTTTCTGAATTAATTTGTGTTGTCGGACTTTATCTTTTGTGAGGCTAGAACAATCTCTACAAATAGTTAATTTATTCATATGCTTCTAGCGATTTCTGAATTAATTTGTGTTTTCATTTTTCAGGTTAGAAATTTCTTAGAGAGATGCAAAATATGGTCAACGAATTAAAGAATTTAATTTTTCAAGTTTTTTCATTTTTTAATATATGTAAGCACAGTGTAAAAACTTTTTATTTAATTCCTCTGTATATATTTTTGAACATATTTAACTTTCATTTATGAAATATATGACGTTATTCCATTCAATATGTGATTGTGATTCAAAGTATAGTATATAGTGTGTATTACATTCTTGAAATGCGCGTATAAAAATAATAATGATTATTCTTCAAATATGTCAAATTCTTTTTTTTATCACAGGTTTTATTAGTTATTAATCACACTTAAAAGATGTGATTTAAATATTATTCATCACACTTAAAAGATGTGATGAAATCATTTTTAATGACACTTAAAAAGTGTGATTAAAAATGATCCTTTTTAATCACTCCCAAAGACCACACTTTAATAAAACTTAAAATGTGTGATTAAAACACATATATCACATCAAAAAAGTGTGATCTTTATCTGTATTTGTAGTAAAAAAAGTACTTTTTGCGACCGCTACAAGTCGTCGCAAATAATAGAAATATAGTTGCAAAAGATCTTTTGCGACGGCCCATGCGATGACAAATGAGGGTTGCAAATGTGGGGGTGACAAATACTTTTTGTGACCGCAAAACAACAGTCGCAAACTATTTGCGACCGCCTAATCTACTTATGGCGACTAATGTTTTACTATCGCAAAAAGTTTAAAAATGCCTTCAATGTATTAGCGACCATCTTGTTACTGTCGCAAAAAAAAAAAAAAAAAAAAGGGAAAGTTAAAACCCATGGCCAAAACAATATCCATTAAGTACCAACAAGAAACATAACAATGTAATGTTCGTTCAGGAGATGAAATGGGACTTGGCAAAAAAAAAAAAACAATGAAAATGAAAACATAACAGAAAGAAAAAAAGAAAAAAAAAAAAAGAAAGAAAGAAAGAAAGAAACACACCATGCCCCTTTCGAGCTCTTAAGTAACTTGCTCACAACCAATAATCAAGTGTCAATGTTCGAGAAGAGTGTCTTAGGAGCCTTATTAAACCATTAAGCTTCAAATAAAACCAAATAACTAGTTTCAAACAAATCACAAAATTCTATCTAAAAAACTCCATGCCAAGTGAAGATGTTTGATTAAAGAGGCCCTGCGAAAATTTCATTCCCTCGCTGTTCATTCCACTTCTTAATCTACAGTAATTAATGCAACAAGCAAAAAATAAAAGACAATTTCAGAACCTATACTAAATGAGTTGCCTTTACTATTATTTGGTTTTACAATAATAAAAAAACGATTGTATACATCAAAATGGTTACAAAGGATAGATTTGTCATTATGATTTTTCATAACAAAAACCCTGCCAAAAAAAACAGAGGATGTTACGGAAATATTTGAGGCCAAAACATCTTAATACAAATACTACGGAAATATTTGAGGCCAAAACATAGTAATACAAATACTCTAGATTGGGTGGTTAGCAAAGCTTTTGGAAGTTCAAATTCACATTAAATTAACTGGATTTCACATGGTCGCACCATGTTGAATGGGTTTAACAGGCCAATTATTATATCTGTTATATCTGTTATTATATCTATTCCAGAAGTTCTAAAACAACAAACCATGATCAAAATATTTGACTTTCAATGTTTAGAGGAGAAAAGCTATTCAATTCCATATTGAACAGTGTAAATCACAGTACCATGACAATCCAGCCTACACGCATTGCACATGCCACACAACAATATTTGTCCTTCTGTTTGGCAAGAGAAACAAGTTCTTGACAGAATGAAAAGTCAAATTGAAGTCATGCCCAAAAGAAGTCATTTGACCACTAATAGCTATAGCTAATTTGGCCAATTCACAATCATGGGACCATACTTGAAGGGTTTTCTAGGACGTAAAGGAAAACTATATAATAGTGTCTAAGGGTCATCACATGTGTGTAAAGGATGTCTATCAAAGCAAAACAAACGAAAACTACATTCTTTCACCTCAATGTTGCTACCTGCACGCCCATGCATTTATCGACATAAATTGAAGTCTATCATTTTAGAAGGACCAAAGTTTGCACCACCTAAAATAACGTCAGGAAATAAACTCATTAGTGCTTTCTTCCTCATAAGTTGAGACATGAAAGATGGTGGCTGTATCACTCCCAGAGGGAAATCCTAAACATCACTTGTACTTAATTCGATGAGGCAAAATCTTTCTAACACTTCTTTCTAGATTGAAATATGTTTTTACAAACCTAGCTTGGAAAGGTCCATTGTATTTGTAGATATGGCATTCGTAATTACAAAACTATCACCCCTCTTCATTTTTTCTACATCAGACTGCAGTCCAATGTTCATAATTTTAAGGGCTCAAAGATGAGCAAACAATTAGTAGAACACATCAAGGATTAGAAACTGCTTAAAAAATTGTCATAACATGAGTTAATATATCTGTTATGCTCCAACATTAATTCAAGTCCTTCAGAGCTTAGAATTAGGTTCTCAGCTTCAATTTAATGGAATGTTGTTAGGGTCAGATTTAAAAGATCTAGTGGAGTTTCACAAAACCAAGCATTGACTAGCTTTCAGGTTTCTTTGGTCACCAAGTTTAAATTCCCTCTCATTGTTCTAGAGCCAAAAGTTTAAATTCCTAGGAACACTATACCAAAGCCTAAGTATGAACCAAAAAGTCTAGAATCTGACATTCCTACATCATCAATATTTAGCTTCAGCATGTGAGGAAGCGAATTGGTTGAGAGATTTGTTACATGAAATCCCTTTTTGGGAAAAACCAATTCCTCCTGTGTTAATTCGTTGTGATAGCACTGCTACTATTGATAGAGTGAACAATCATTTTTATAATGGTAAATCCAGACTTATTCGAAGGAAACACAGTAATGTGAGATCCTATTTGAGTAATGGCATCATAACTATAAATTATGTAAAATCTTGTGATAATCTTGTGGATTCGTTAACTAAGGCCTTGGCGAGAGATAAGGTCTAGAATACATAGAGGGGGATGGGTTTGAACCCTATAAAATCATAAACCATGTATGAGGACACCCAACCTGGGGACCAGAGATCCTGTAAGTAAGTTCAATGGGAAGAATGAATCATATGGTGGCTGTAAAAAAATGCACTCCTTAATATTTTGTTGTCCATCCTTATGATGTAAGTGCAATTGTCCTGTAATGTTGGAGGGTTGAGTCTTTATACTCTTAATGAAATTTTGTAACTCTTGTTGAGTGGGATGTGTAAATTGCAAGAACTTCCTTGACAGATTTCACCTATGTGAGCATGGAAGTGGGGCCATTTTCTATGAGAACAAGACTTATTCACAAATATGCTCATGAAAACTGGGATAGGCACAAGGCCGTAATGTGCTGGCTATTAAAAGCTCATGTCAACACTAGGATCATTATGTATGAGCAGTAATACTTTATTTCTCCTAAGTAGTCATAGTTCAAGTCTAAGACCACTGCTGACTCTGGAGTAGAGGTTGTTGTTTCACTAATGAAGGTTCAATGCAGAGTACACATTCATGATGCATATTGTCTATCTTTGGCTAATAATCTCTCTTGTCCTTGTTGATATTAAAATGAGTGGGGGATTGTTGGACCATTTTAATATCATTTATTTATTTTGTGACTTTTTTGGTTTTGTTCATGAATCTTATTTTGTTTGGTGAATAGAGATTCATTGTTTTTTGGTTACCTTTTGTCTTGTTCATGAATAGAGATTAATTGAAAGTTCATGGACTTGGTAGTGAGTTAATATTTGGAGACTCTCCGTTTTCTCTAGTTTAATGATCATTATTTTTTTTGGTGTAATTTGTAAGGTCCTAGTGGTCTATAAATAGTTGCTCTCGTCTACTCTTTTCTACACCAACCATTTTTTATACTTGAGAGATTACTAGCCAAAGAAGAGTGTTTTTTCTTGGTGGAGCCTTGGGTTCACCATCTTGTGCAGAGTTGGCCTTAACCATACGACAAGTGGTCGGGCTGTTGTATCCTAGGGGGACAAGTCATAGTTTCGTGACTGCTGCATCGGTATTTGGGTTCTTCCTACTGCAGTGGGCTTGATCTCCTTAAAGAAAACGAGATATCTGTACCTCAGCCTGATCTATTTGTATCTCATTTTCTTTGCATTATTTATCAATAAAATAAAATTTTTCTGGTATTTTCACCAACATTATGCATTTCAATTAACCAAACAACATTTCCAGTGTTTCATATTTGTTAAGAATTTTTCATCACCTGTTCCAAGCTATTCCAATTACTTGATGTTGCTACTTCGCTTCTGTTTTCTGCTTTCGGTTACTATTACCAATCATTTGGTGCAAATTTTTTGGATTTCAAAAGTTTATCATAAGCTGTAAACAAAAGTTGCACAAAACACACTAACCCAAATTTTCAAAATAAAATAGGCTATGAGCAACCACAATAAGCTGCATCAAACAAGTAACAATTTTACAACTATGTTCTACAAGTATCTCAGAATTTTCTCACAAATTGAGATTAATAGAATGACACAAACTAAAGCAAAAAACTACAATGATGATCTTGTCATGTTTGTTTATTTCATCTCTCTTTTTCCAAGATAAACATCTCTAATCACTTGCAATTCCATGAGAGCATCACTAATATTGATTCTTTCACTTGGTAAATCTACAGAAAGAAGAGAGTTGTAAAATATTGGCTTACCCTAATTTGGGTGAGACCATGTCTATATATAATCAATATAAGATACATGGAAAAGGGAATTAAATAATTACACAATCAAATCCTAAAATTAAATTCCTAAATTAAATATACAATATTCCATATTCTAACATTCCATATTCCAACACTCCCCCTCAAGCTGGATGAAAGATGTCAACCAACCCCAGCTTGCCAATGGAAGATCGAAGCAGGGATGGTCCTACAGATTTGGTGAAGATATCGGCAGTCTGATCAGAAGATGGAACAAACGAAGGACAGACAATGCCAGCTTGAACCTTTTCCC